CACATGACTTCATTTCCACTATGCACCAATTGTGGGAGCGCACGCATAAACGTCTTCTGACTATCCAGCAGCAACAAAAGAAGCTCGCTGATCGGAGTCGCAACGATCATTCCATCCAGATTGGCGATCAGGTGCTTCTGGATACACGCAATCTCGACATTAGCCATCTTCCGTCTAAGCTCCGACCTCGCTTCTGCGGACCTTTTCTCGTCGAGGCGCAGGTCACTCTAGTAACCTTCCGCTTGCGTTTACCAGCTACCTGGAGAATTCACAATGCCTTCCATGTTCAACTTCTCAAGCCCTATCGGGACCCAAACACGGTCTTCAAAGGTCGCCAGCCGCCGCCGCCACTGCCAGTGATCGTTAATGGGGAACCCGAGTACGAAGTCGAAGCCGTTCTGGCGCACCGACGACGACGTAGCGGCAACTTGGAGCTTTTGATTCGTTGGAAAGGCTATGATCCTTCCGAGGATACCTGGGTACCTGAACACAACATGGATAACGCCCGCCGTCCTCTACAGGACTACCTTGTCAAGCAGGGTGTTACTTCTACCACCCAGCTTTGAGGGGGGGAAGTGTGAAAGGACGTCCCCGTTATAATATTTTCTCACTATTATATTTTCCGTTATCCCATTCTCCCTTTTCTCCTCTTTATTTTGGTCTTTATCTCATCTCAATCGGCCTACTATTCTATTTTCTAGAGCCTTCTATTTATTTCTCTTATTTCCTACTTTTCCCACCGACATACCTATTATACGGCACCGACAGCGCCGACACTGGTGTATACGGTGTAATCTGGGCGTAATCCCAAGTGCCAATAGACTTGCGTGCTTATGCGCACTTGTGATTGTAGTATCGGGAAGGGTGTGTTCCCGAAGGTTCGTTTTATCTCGTTTATCCTTGTACTTTCTGAGTATAAATAGGCCTTGTATTCAGTTTTAGTGACAAGTTTCGATTGAGAATTCGATCCTGTGACAAGCCCTGTTTGGTAAGAGCAGCGCCTCTGACACTGCACTGCCCTTACCCTACTGTTTGCGCTGCTAGTCTACTGTTGTCATGGCTACCCCTAGTGTCCTCGCTTTTGACGCTGAGGGTCGGGCCATTGACTTTGACGTCTGGATAGATGACCTGCAGCTTTTCTTACAGTGCGATAGGGCAGTCGGTCTCTCCCTCTTTGACCTCACCTCTGGTGCCTCTCCTACCCCTGCTACTGATGGTGACGCCACTGTTTGCTCCCAGTGGGCCACGCCCGATGCTGCTGCACGTCTTGCTGTGTGTCGCCACCTCCCTACCTCTGAGCGTGCGCACTTTAGTCAGTACAAGAGTGCTCAGACCTTGTACGACGCTGTAGTTGCACGCTACTCCTCCCCTGCCAATGCTGCACTGAGCCGTCTCATGCTACCGTACCTCTTCCCTGACCTTGCTGCCTTTCCCACAGTCGTAGACCTCATTACGCATCTCCGCACTAGTGACACTCGCTACCGCGCTGTGCTTCCTGCTGAATTCTGCGCCAAGAACCCCCCCCCCATGTATATCACCCTCTACTACATAGTCACCCGGCTCCCTGACTCCCTTCACGTAGTCAGGGACTACTTCCTCGCAGTGTGCACCACCACTCTCACTGTTGACCTCCTCGAGAAGGCCCTCCTTGCAGCGGAGAAGAGCATAGTCGCTGTAGGGGCCTCTCGTGGTGACCCCCGCACCCCTGTCTTTGAGGGGTGTTCTCCCTCCCCCCTCTTGCCCTATGTTGCTTCTGCTGATGCGGCCGACCTCGTTGGTTTTGAGTCGGTCGGCGCTGCGTCTGCCCCTTCGGGGAAGCGCCGCACAGGCAAGGGCAAGGGGGGCAAGGGCGCTGGAGGAGCTGGCGGGGGCGGTGGAGGCGGCGGAGGGAGTGGGGGTGGTGGTGGGAGTGGTGGAGGGGGTGGGGGTGCCGGTGGCAGCAGTGGAGGCGGAGGCGGAGGCGGTGGTGGCGGAGGGAGCGGAGGCAGCGGTGGTGGCGGAGGCGGCGGCGGTGGCGGAGGCGGCAGAGGTGGCGGAGGGGGCGGTGGAGCTGGTCGTGGTTCTACGCAGAGGAGTGGCTCCGGTGGTGGTCCGCGCTAGCAGCAGCAGCGCGGTCGTGAGACCCTGTCCCATCAGCAGCTCCGTGAGTGGTACGCTGCACGCCAGCGGGGTGGGGGTACTAGTCCGTGCACCTACGTTCTGCGCACAGGCGACCGCACGGGTGAGCAGTGTGGGGGTGCGCACCCCACCCAGCGCTGCTTTGGCCGCCTGACGGATGCGTGGCGTCACCAGTTTCCTGAGGCCACAGAGATCCCTCGCTGGGGCGAGCTGTCTAGGGCGGGGGTTGCTATCTTTGATCTTGACTTTGATGCTATTCTTTCTGCCATGTATGCTGTGACTATTAGTGATGAGGGTGACTGTTACCGGTGTTTCCCGCCCGATCCGGGCATTGAGACTGCTGCTCTAGGTACTGGTGAGGCTGCTGCCCTAGGTGCTTGCGAGGCTGCTGCTTTAGGTGCTAGTGCGTCTGCATCCTCAGGTGCTGGTGAGTCTTCTCTCTCAGGTACTGCGTCGGCTTTGGCCTCCCTCACCTTCACCCTTGACTCTGGGGCTTCTTCCTCCTTCTTTCGAGACCGCACCACACTCACGCCGCTTGGTCGGCCGGTTGCGGTGTCTCTAGCTGACCCCTCTGGGGGTCCTGTCCTTGCTCACTTCTCCACAGTCCTCCCGTGTCCGGCGGCTCCCTCTGGCACCCTATCTGGTCTTTACCTCCCCTCGTTCTCTACGAACTTGGTGAGTGGTGCTGACCTACAGGATGGGGGAGTGCACCAGTTCACTCCTGCGAGTCAACGGGTGACACACTGCACTAAGGCTTGGACAGGCCGCCACTTGGCCACGTTCACACGTCAGCCCGGGTCGAGCCTGTACACGCTGACCACTGCGTCTCCTCCAGTCACTACGTCTGGTCGGGTAGCTGCGTCGGGTCAGGTGTTTGCTGCAGCGTCCAGGTCTGGTCCTGAGTCTGCCCCCTGTTCGTGTCGTCTCCTGTCTCACGAGACTCTCCTCTGGCACCACCGCCTTGGTCACCCCTCTCTGCTTCGTCTCAGAGGCACGGCCTCTCGTTTCCTTGTTTCTGGTCTTCCCCGGTCCCTCCCTCCCCTTTCTTAGGGGCCTGGCCCCGCCTGTGTCCCCTGTGTTGAGGGCCCTCACTCATCCCAGTTTCCTCCGACAGAGGCCCCGTTGCAGACGCTTCACATGGACGTGAGGGGCCCAGCCCGCGTCCGTGGACAAGGTCACGAGCGCTACTTCCTGCTGGTGGTTGACGACTACTCGCGTTACACCACAGTCTTCCCCTCGATCCGCGCAGCTCGTCTCCAGCTCAGGCAGAGCTTTGGCTCGAACTTCCCTGTTCTGCGTCTGCACTGGGACAGAGGTGGAGAGTTCTCCTCTGGCCTCCTGAGAGCCTACTGTCGTGCACAAGGCATCCGTCAGACCTTCACGCTTCCGGACTCTCCGCAGCAAAATGGGATTGTTGAGTGCCGCATTGGCATGGTCATGGACGTCGCTCGTACGTCCATGATGCATGCGGCTGCCCCCCATTTTCTGTGGACGTTTGCGGTGAGGTACGCGGCGCATCAGATCAACCTTCACCACAGGGTCTCCAGGCCGGAGACCTTCCCAGCTTTGCTGTGGACGGGGAAGGTTGGGGATGCGTCTGCGTTCCGTGTCTGGGGATCTCGGGCGTTTGTCCGCGACTTGTCTGCGGACAAGCTGTCCCCTCGTGCTGCTCCTTGCGTCTTCCTGGGGTTCCCCCCTGACGCACCCGGGTGGCAGTTCTACCACCCCGCCTCGCGCCGTGTTCTGTCCTCTCAGGACGTCACGTTTGACGAGTAAGTCCCCTACTACCGCCTCTTCCCCTACCGCACTCCGTCCCTCCCCCCGCCACCGCTCTTCCTTGTACCAGGTCCCCCCCCGGTAGACCCCCTCCCCCCTCAGGGTCCTCCCCCTTCAGGTGTGTCCCAGGTAGACGCAGTCCAGCCTGTCGAGGTTTCTGGTGACTCTGGTGCTGCTGGGGGGGCTGAGCGTGTGGGTGCTACTCCTGGGGGTGCTGAGCCTGGGGGTGCTGAGCCTGGGGGTGCTGAGTCTGGGGGTGCTGAGTCTGGGGGTGCTGAGCCTGGGGGTGATGTGCCTGGGGGTGCTACGCCTGGGGGTGCTGAGCCTGGGGGTGCTGTGCCTGGGAGTGCTACGCCTGGGGGTGCTGAGCTTGGAGGTGCTACGCCTGGAGGTGTGGAGCCTGAGGGAGCTGGACCTGTTCGTGTGGCGTCTGGTGGTGCTGGGCCTGGATGTTCTCCGGGTGCTTCGTCTCTGCGGGACCCACTCTCTCCACAGGAGCTGCGCGAGTGGTTCTTCGGCGCTGGAGCCGTGCTTCTGGAGCTGGAGGTTCTTCGGCTACTGAGGGTACTGGTGTCACGGGTCCCGGAGGTGCTCGTACTGGGAGTATTGGAGCTGCTGGGCCTGCGGGTTTGACTGGAGCTGGTGCTGCTGAGGGTGTTGGCGCTGAGACTACTGCTGGCGGTCCTGCTGGAGGTGCTACACGTGCTGCTGGAGGTCCTAGAGCTACTGGAGCTGCTGCGGGTACTGGAGCTGGAGGTGCTGCTGGAGCTGGTGTTCCTGCTGGGGGTACTGGTGATGTCCTTGCTGTGTCTGGAGTCGCCGCACAGCCTCGACCGTACTTCGTTCCGCTCTTGCAACAGGTTCTTGGTCTTCCGCCTTCTACAAGTCCTCCGTCTCCTCCCTTAGAGTGTCCACAGCCTGTACAGTCGCGGTCACAGTTACAGCCCGCCTCTCCCCTACCTGCTCCTTCTCCCTACACTGGTCCTACTGGAGGTCTTGCTGAGCGTTGTGAGCCTGCGTCTCGCCCTGCGTCGCCTGTCCGTGCTGCTCGCACTACTGGTCGTGGTTCGCGTCAGCATCCTCCTCCTGTCCCTGGCACGCACAGGATGTCTCTGCGTCCGTCCACTTCTCCTTTGCGTGCCCCTTTGCCTTCTCCTCCTGACTCCTCTCTTCCTGCTCTTGCCGTCCATGAGTCGGACTCCCTTCGTGCTGCAAGTCCTACTGTCACGTGTCTCCTTGCTACTGTCGTCACTGACCCTTCCTTTGAGTCCACTGCTGCGTCGGCCCTAGTTGCTGAGCTCGTCGACTTTGCTGCTCGCTGTCGCCTAGACTGCGCTGCTAGTCTTGTCGCTAAGTCTGAGTCTGTCTGTCCTCCGTCCGTCGGGGGTGAGTGTGCCCTTGGCACGGACGTCCTTGAGGACAGGCAGGAGGAGTTCCAGTGTCTTGCTGCTGCTTCACCTCATCTCGTGTCCGTACTGCTTACCCCTGAGGGAGACCCGGATGCACTTGACATCCCGACTCCGCGCTCTTACGCGGAGGCGATAGAGGGTCCCTACTCTTCTCAGTGGCAGGCAGCTATGGACACAGAGATGGCTTCCTGGAAGTCCACAGGCACCTACGTTGACGAGGTTCCCCCACCTGGGGCGAACATCGTCAGTGGCATGTGGATCTTTAGGGTGAAGCGGCCGCCGGGTTCTCCGCCTGTCTTCAAGGCAAGTTACGTGGCTCGCGGCTTCAGTCAGCGGCAGGGAGTTGACTACTTTCAGACCTTCTCTCCCACCCCGAAGATGACCACTCTTCGGGTACTGCTGCACGTTGCTGCTCACCGTGACTACGAGCTGCACTCTCTTGACTTCAGCACAGCTTTCTTGCAGGGCAGCCTACACGAGGAGATCTGGCTGCGTCGCCCACCTGGCTTCTCTGGGTCGTTCCCTCCTGGTACCCTGTGGAGTCTCCGCCGTCCAGTCTACAGTCTCCGCCAGGCGCCCCGTGAGTGGCACGACACACTGAGGACTACGCTTGCGGCTCTTGGGTTTGCTCCTTCTACTGCCAACCCGTCGCTGTTTCTGCGCACCGACACCTCTCTGCCGCCGTTCTACATCCTCGTGTATGTCGACGACTTGGTCTTTGCCACAGCTGACACTGCTGGACTCGCCTATGTGAAGTCCGAGCTGCAGAAGAGACACACGTGCACAGACCTGGGTGAACTGCGCAGCTACCTTGGCTTGCAGATTACTCGGGACAGAGCACGCCCCACCATTACCCTGACTCAGTCACAGGTCCTTCAGCGCTTCGGCTTCACGTACTCCTCGCCTCAGGCCACTCCTCTGCCTACTCGCCACTCACTCTCAGCTCTGCCTTCGGATGAGTCCGTAGAGTCGAGTGGCCCGAATCCAGAGCTTGTTGGCTGCCTCATGTACCTGATGACCTGCACACGACCTGACCTTGCATACCCTCTTAGCATTCTCGCACGCTATGTTGCTCCTGGGAGATACCGACCGGAGCACATGGCTGCAGCGAAGATGGTGTTGCGCTACTTGTGCAGTACATCGGGCATGGGGCTAGTGCTTGGAGGGCGGAGTCCAGTGGTCCTCACTGGGCATGCAGATGCTTCTTGGGCTGACGACCAGGCTACGCAGCGGTCGTCACAGGGTTACACCTTCAGCCTTGGTTCCGGCTCTGTTTCGTGGCGGGCTACTCGCTCGTCCTATGTTCTCGGCTCCAGTTGTGAGGCCGAGATCTACGCAGGGGCCATGGCTGCACAGGAGCTTCGCTGGCTCACCTTCTTTCTGACTGACCTCGGAGAGCCGCCTCGTTCTCCTCCAGTTCTGTACGTAGACAACAAGGCCATGCTGGCCTTGTGTCGAGAGCAGAGACTGGAGCACAGAACAAAGCACATTGCTCTCCGCTACTTCCTTGCTCGTGAGCTACAGCAGCGTGGTCAGTTGCGGCTTGCGTACGTGGCCTCTGAGGCCAACACTGCTGATGTCTTCACCAAAGCACTTGCGCCTTGTGATCATCAGCGCTTCTGCACTCAGCTGGGTCTTGTGCCTGTCTTGCCTCACTTGCTCACCTCTTGACCTTGCTTGTACTGTTACATATATATATACCTGCTCTTGCTTATCTAGCTTTATATATGTGTGTGTACTCTTGCATGTGAACTAGCCTTGTGGCCTTGACCTTGTGATCGGAATGTGTGGTGACTTTGAGATCCACCCTGAGCTTGCTTTGCTTTGCTTTGCTTGACAGGTCTTGTGACCCCTTGTTCTCCCCCGCTTTGCCTATGGGGGTGTGTCGGAACATTATATAGCTTATACTTTTGTGTAGGCTGTAGTGGGGTATCCCATAGGGGGTACAACCCAATTTGGGTTAGTACTTGTACCCACTTCTTTCATAGTTCATTCATTCTCGTTTCAGTTTTCTCAGCGCTGCGTACCGGACCGCGAACGGCCACTGAAAATGGGGGGCAGCCGCTTGGATCATGGACGTACGAGCGACGTCTATGACCATGCCAATGCGGCGCTCAGCAATCCCATTTTGCTGTGGAGAGGCCGGAAGCGTGAATGTCTGGCGGAGGCCCTGTGCACGACAGAAGGCTTGCAGAAGGTCAGAGGAAAACTCTCCGCCTCTGTCGGAGTGCGGACGTTGAACAGGAAAGTCCGAGCCGAAACTCTCTCTAAGCTGGAGACGAGCTGCGCGGATCCAATCGATCAACACCCCAGTGACCTCACCCTTGCTGCGCAAGGGGAAGAGTGTGGTGTAACGCGAGTAGTCGTCAACCACCAGTAGGAAGTAACGCTCGTGACCCTGTCCACGGACGCGGGCGGGGCCCCACACGTCCATGTGAAGCGTCTGCAGTGGAGCGTCTTTCGCTGGAAACTCGGAGGAGTGCGGAGCAGCGCGCTGCCGCCCCTCGACGCAGGGAACGCAGATAGGGGCAGGCCCCGGAGGAAGGGGAGGGAGGGACCGGGGGAGACCAGAGATAAGGACACGGGAGGCCATGCCTCGGAGACGAGGCAGGGAGGGGTGACCAAGGCGGTGTTGCCAGAGGAGAGTCTGGTGAGACAGGAAACGACACGAGCAGGGGGCAGACTCAGGACCAGACCTGGACGCTGCTGCAAAAACCTGACTCGACGCAGTGACCTGACCAGACTCAGCAACTGAGGGAGACTCAGTAGTCAGTGTGTACAAGCTCGACCTCGGCCGACGGGTAAACGTGGCCAAGTGGCGGCCTGTCCGAGCACACGTGCAGTGTGTCACTCGCTGACTCGCACGAGTGAACTGGTGAACCCCCCCATCCTGTAGGTCAGCACCACTCACCAAGTTAGTAGAGAACGAGGGGAGGTAAAGACCTGACAGGGTGCCACAGGGGGCTGCCGGACACGGTAAGACAGTCGAGAAGTGGGCAAGGATAGGACCACCAGAGGGGTCTGCCAGGGAGACCGCCACTGGCCGACTAAGCGGCGTGAGTTTGGTGCGGTCTTGAAAGAAGGAGCGGGAAGCACCCGGGTCAAGGGTGAAGGTGTGGGAGGCCTGAGCCGACGTGGTACCTGAGAGCGCAGACTCACCAGCACCTGAGGCAGCAGACTCACTAGTACCGCCTCACCAGCATCTAGAGCAGGAGCCTCAATGCCCGGTTCAGGCGGAACACACAGGTAACAGTCACCCTCATCACTAGTAGACACAGCATACATGGCAGCAACAATAGCATCAAAGTCAAGATCAGAGATAGCTACTCCCGCCCTAGACAGCTCGCCCCAGCGAGGGATCTCTGTGGCGTCAGGGAACTGGTGACGCCAAGCGTCCGTCTGGCGGCCAAAGCAGTGCTGGGTGGAGTGTAGACCCCCGTACTGCTCACCCTCACGGTCGCCGGTACGGAGGACGTAGGTGCAGGGGCCAGCACCCCCACCCCGCTGACGCGCAGCGTACCACTCACGAAGCTGCTGGGGGGGAGGGGTCTCACGAGTGCGCTGCTGCTGCTGGCGCTGTCCACCACCGGGGCCACCTCTCTGGGTACAGCCGCGACCCGCTCCACTGCCGCCGCCGCCACCTCCGCCTCCTCCACCTCCTCCGCCTCCTCCGCTCCCACCACCACCGCCGCCACCACCCCCGCCTCCACTGCTGCCTCCGACGCCTCCACCCCCGCCACCACTCCCACCACCACCCCCACTCCCTCCACTGCCTCCCCCTCCACCTCCGCCGCCCCCGCCAGCTCCTCCAGCGCCCTTGCCCCCCTTGCCCTTGCCGGTGCGGCGTCTCCCGCTAGGGGCAGACGCCGCTCCGACCGACTCGAAGCCAGCGAGGTCGGCCATAGCAGCAGAGGCGACAGAGGGCAAGAGGGGGGAGGGGGAACTCCCCTCAAAGACGGGGGTACGAGGGTCACCACAAGAGGCTCCGACAGCTAATATACTCTTCTCCGCTGCTAGGAGGAGCTCCTCGAGGAGGTCAACGGTGAGTGTGGTGGGGCAAACTGAGAGGAAGTGGTCCCTGACTAAGTGAAGCGAGTCAGGGAGCCGGGTGATTATGTAGTAAAGGGTGATGTACATGGGGGGGGGGGGGGGTCCTTGGCACGTAACTCAGCAGGAAGCACAGCGCGGTAGCGAGTGTCACTAGTGCGAAGGTGCGTAATGCGGTCAGCTACTGTGGGAAAAGCGGCGAGGTCAGGGAACAGGTACAGCAGTATGAGGCACCTAAGGGCAGCAGTGGCAAGGGAAGAGTAGCGTGCAACTACAGCGTCGTACAAGGTATTAGCACTCTTGTACTGTCTAAAGTGCGCACGCTCAGCGGTCGGTAAGTGGCGACGCACAGCAAGACGGGCAGCAGCATTGCGTGTGGCCCACTGTGAGCGAACAGTGCTGTCAGCATCAGCAGGCGGGGCAGGAGAGGCACCAGACGTGAGATCGAAGAGGGAGAGACTGTCTGCCCTATCGCACTGTAGGAAAAGCTGTAGGTCATCAACCCAAACCTCGAAGTCAACAGCCCGAACCTTAGCATCAAAGGTAAGGACACTGGGGGTAGCCATGACAGTAGCGGTCTAGCGGTGAGGGCAGCAGGGTAGGGGCAGCTCAGTGGCAAAGGTGCTGCTCGGGAATGCTCTCACCAGTCCGCGCGGGGAGGGCCGGGGCGAGCCGGCAGGAACAGGGCCGCAAGTGTGGCGGCTGCGGCTCGGCGAAGGCTGAGCGGCGGCTCGGCGGCTCGGCAGCTCGGTGGCGGCTCGGCGGTGGTTCGGCGGCTGCTCGGCAGCTCGGCTGTAGCGGCGGCTGTTCGGCGGCTCGGCGGCTCGGCGTCTCGGCGGCAGCTCGGCGGCTCAGCGGCTCGGCGGCGGCTCGGCGGCTCAGTGACGGCGGCGGCAGGGCCAGGGTAGGAGCGGTAGGGCAGCAACTGGGCCGCTGGAGGGCGGCGACGGGGCCGCGGTAGGCGGCGACGGGGCTGCGAAGAGCGGCAACGCGGCTGCGAAGGGCAGCGACGCGGCCGTGAAGGGCGGCGACGCGGCCGTGAAGGGCGGCGACGCGGCCGTGAAGGGCGGCGGCTGGGCCGCGAAGGCAGCGACGGGGCCGCGAGACGGCGGCGACGAGGCCGCGGTAGGGCGGCAACTGGGCCGCTTTAGGGCGGCGACCGGGCCGCTGGAGGGCGGCGACGGGGCCGCTAGAGGGCGGCGACGGGGCCTCGAAGCGCGGCGACGCGGCCGCGAAGGGCGGCGGGTGGGCCGCGAAGGCGGCGACGGGGCCGCGAGAGTGCGGTCGGGCCGTAAGGAGCGGCGCCGAGGCCGCGTAGGGTGGGGCCGCTAGGGGCCGCTAAGGGCGGCGACGGGGCCGTGAGAGAGGCCGCTAAGGGCGGCGTGATGGGCCGCTAAGGGGAGGGCGGCCGACAGGGCGCGCCTCAGGCTCAGGGCAGAAAAAAAAAAATTACTCGATTTTCAGTGGTGGGCCCTAGGAAAAAGTTCCCGCTAGGGAACTTGCTCTATACCATGTGAAGAAATGAGGAATGGAATGACTAAGGGAAAGTTGGGTACAAGTACAAACCCTAGAAGTTTGTACCCCATATGTGCTACCCCACTATAGCCTACATCAGCTAAGTCATATAAATCTGACAATATACTTATACATGCATGCTTACACTTGCTAGGTTGTGATCACTGTACTGCTTGTTCTTCTTTATATATAACTCTGCATGTGAACTGGCCTTGTGGCCATTTGCTTGTGCTCGGACTGCGTGGTGACGTTGTGATCCACCCTGAGCTTGACCTTGCTTCGTTCTCTTGCTTGTCCCCCACTTTGCCTATGGGGGTGTGTCAGAACTATATTCTAGGCTGTAGTGGGGTACTCCTTATGGGGTACAACCCAAATTAGGTTTTGCTATACAAACCCTGTACTGCTCTCATTCTAGTCATCATTCATTCCTGATTCTGACAGAAATTCTTTGTGAATTTCCTTGGCGAGTTAAGATGCTCTATCAACGTATTGACGTGAAGAGCTTTTCTGCACACGAGCCAATCGATTGTCAATGCTGCGCAACAGAGTGTGGGACTACTCTAGTACTCTTGATTGACATTATACTTGGTAATTCTCTCTACAAACAAGGACCCTTGGATAGGGGCTGGTTTACCATGCACCCAAGGACCCTTGGAGGTGACCCCGTGGAGAATATTGAATGTGCGTTTATTGGTGTATAGAGCCTTCTGAATCCAAATAACGGTCAACAGTCGTTAGCGTCGGTAACGAGTTCGAACGCACGGTGAGGATCGGTGATGTGGAGCACGGGCGGCGGGCACATAAATTTGTTCAGGGCAAAAAAGGCAGCCTGCTCTTTCTCCCCCGATGTGTAGTCAACTCCCTTCCTCAGGTTCGGTCATAGGGGCAGTCAGCTTTGCCATGTTGAGGACGAAGCGACTCACGTAGTTGACGAACCCCAAACAAACTCCGCAGGTCGGTCCGAGTTATTGGTGGGTGCCACGCCTGATTGGTCGCAATCTTTTTCGCGTCTATTTCCACGCCGTCAGCTAAAATTATGTGACCCAAAATATCAGGTTGTCTTGCAAAAATGCACACTTCGATGGTTTCGTCAGTAGTCAGTTGCCAAT